GTGGTCAGGTTTGCATTTTATGAAAGGTTCTGTGATCATTCCAAGATAGTCAGTTGATCTCATCAAGTTCTAGGTCAAATGGAAATGTATTGCCCATTAATAGAAAATGTAATTAATTTGGTAACTTGAATAGTAGCCATTTAACTTGAATATACAATGCATGAAATAATTTTATTTGGTTTACGAAAAGGCTTCGAAAAGGGGACTCTGGCATTTCTGCACATCTCCATCCTCCTCTGCCTGCAAAATACAATTACATTTTTTATTGCTGTTATTTGGATTCTGATACAACTCTACATGTGAGTTTCTGGTATTTAAAAAAATATATTTAAATATAGGATGGCAGCAAAAACACAAACACCTTATAGTTGGCTACAGGAGATGATCATGAGTTGATTCCAAGACACACGTCTAAATTACTAACGTACAGTTGTCTCTTTCACAGGGTATATATATTGGCTCTCCATATATGTCAGAAGAGTATTGGTGGGTGGAAAGAACACAACCCTGGGAGGACAGCTGGACTCTGATGAATAGTTGTTGGGCAAGTTATTTTGTCTTTGTGACTGATTTGAAAAATGGGGGAATAATGTCTTTGCTAACAAAGGTTATTATAAGCCTTAAGTTTGGTAGTGTATGTGCAGGTGTTCTGAAAGTCACTGTATGGTGTTGGTGGCTGCAAACACGTGACCATTTCAAGGTGAAACAGAGTAGAGGCTTCTGGTTCAACTGTCCATACAGCTCCCACCCAAGGCTCGGCAAACAGGCATTGGATAAGTAGTGTCAGTAAGTGGATATTCATACACACACATTTAAAAAACATGAAGAGTGTTCAGACTATTGATGATCCTGCATTATAAAAATATATTTAAGAAGTTAACTCCAGCCATTGATATGTAAATAAAATTAGTCCCTATCTCTATCCGGTAAAATAAAAAAACCCAAACAAAAATTAAAAAAACCAAACTCTCTCTCCATGCATACATAGAAATGTCACGTCTCCAGACCCATCCATGTCACCTTGTTTATATTTTTTCCTTTCAACCCTCACCCATTTAAATTTATCACTTGTAATAACCTAGTTTTGAAGGGAAATTTGTCTGAGTGTAGTAGACCATGCTCTACATAGGACGTTTCCTTTTAGTTGTGGATGAGGTTGAGAAAATTAGGACTTGTTCTGAGAATTGGGATTTAATAATGCAGCTTTTCAATTCAGTGAGAATGTGACCTAGTAAATAGCAGTAGAAGTAGAACTTGTTCTTGGTTTGTGCCCCTGGAGAAGTTTCCTGCCTGGGGTGTATGGAGAAGGGTCTTTGCGTTTATTTTTTTGGGACACACACACACACACACACACACTCATTCCAGTCCATTTCAGTTATGTGCTTTTCTTTCTCTGCATTGGAAGCGGTTCGAGCAGATTCATCTGTGCTCTAAATTGCAAAATGGCAGACTTGTGGCTTCCAGAAGAGCATGAGACATAGATGAAGGAGGTAGTCTTGTGGGTTGTTTTAGAAAGGGACGTGTTCCAGAGGCAACCACGACAGAACTGAACTTCAAATCTCCCAGGAGAGAATCCTGCCCTATCTAGCACCAGGCAGGCATGTGAAGGGCTGACCAGACTGTATCAACCCCCTACCCAGGGCTGTCCTTCTTCAGGAAAAGACTACACAGTCCAGAGAACCACTGAGATCTCAGCTCAGGATCTCGTCAATATTCTAGATATTCTTATTTTGAAATTCAAAAGTGACAACAAGTCTGCCTTTGGCTATAGGACAATCTAAATATAAAAGTGCTACGCTCACGTTCGAAAGAAAAATCTACCTTCACTTTACATGACTGCAGGATCTCCAGCGAGCATAGTATGCAAGTCTGTCGCAAGTGTATTGGATGTTTCAGTTTGCCAGACCTGTCATGATAAATTAATTACAGGATGTTGCAGAAATGGCAAAGCTCCAGCAGCATCTTGCATAGTTTAATATAGCCCCATTTCCCCATTTCAATGTATTTGTGGTTAGATAAATCCTCAGAAATTTACAGCTGCTATAGACTAGTTTATTATGTACTCTGCCTGCACACATGATAAGTATAATAAGAATTTGATGTGCTTAAAGCGCATAGATTTTACTGACATTTCTTTACCACGATGGAAATATTTAGTTGCTAAAAGTAGCATCTGCAGATACTTCTGAGCATTAACTTCTGTGTGACAGGCAGGGATGGTTAAAAACATTACTGTGTTCAGCCATCTTCTAGTTACTTTAAATTGAAAAACTGAGCTCAGAAAAAAATTACATGAGCATTTCTATTAAATGGTCCTGTGAACAAAAAGAAAAAAAAAAATACTACTATATCTCAGTTGAAAACACTGAAAAAACGAATTGAAGCTACCATACTTTTCTCCAGGGAAGCTTCTTCCTTTGGTCTCAGGACTGCTTTTTGAAAGCTTTGGTTGTTCATTTTTGCTCCAGTAACAAGTTATTTTCCTCACCTTCTTGCTTTTTTCTCCTTTTGGACTCTCTCTCTTTTTTAAACAATCTTCATTAAGCAAATCATCTCCACTCTAAGCAATTTTAAATGATTGACAGTATATAAATTTCTGTAGATAAATGTTGTAGAAACAAACCATTCCTACATTTTCCCCTACCATATTCTTTCAAATTCTTGAAAGGATCAGGTGATGATTTAAGAAGACATGAACTAGGTTAAGTAGAAATCAGATTGTTCAGTACTTAGAAATGACAAGTACATGTATTTGGACAACTCTGACATAGCAATAGAGGTGGAACGTGTATGGTTATAGATTTTTTTTTAGATTGAGAGCAAAAATTAAAATGGTAGCGATTCTTAGCAGCATTATCCTAACTTTTTGAGACGATCAAAATAACCCATCCATAATCAGAATAAATTCAAGGTGTTAGAAAAACAATTTCAGAAAACAGAGGGCTCACAATATATGCTTAATGTAGATTTGAAGAGAATCATTAAAACAAAAAAAAGCATTCTTTGTGTTTACAAAACAAATGTTTTTATGCTATCTAGTTCCTGCCTTAACCTAAAGTATTTCCTATTCACTTGAATAACTAGAGCAGAAGTATATGATGAATGCAGTGCCTCATTACCAAGTTTGTTTTCCGGGTCTCTGCAGAGAGTAGCTGTCTTCTTTTGCCTACTCGGTCCATTGTTAACCCTAAATGATGCTGACATTCAATTCTCCTGCAGATAATTGGGTCCATCCATAGATTGAGTTCACCAGTCAACAGAGCCTTTTGATTGACGTGACTCTTGATGCTTTTATTATCTCTTATATGACTGGAATGACGCCCTTTGCTGCTTCTTGAATAATATGCTACTGTATATATGTTTGATTCTACAGAATCTACTTCTTTAAAAAATGTAAGAAATATAGTATGGAGTAAAGATCTATGAAAATAATTATGGGTAAACAAATGATCAGTTAAAGATTTTTTTTACTCAGATGTATTTCATTTTATTTAGGTCACTGTTGCATTAAAGGCATATTAGATGTTCCCAGTCTCTGAATGTGGTGGCAGGTACATTCACATTACTTCTTTAGTTACTCTTGTGTGTGCTGGAGTGTCCGACTAGTCATTTGCTGGCTTACTCCTCACAGAGACTGAGACCAGCACTTGGGAGACCTCCCAGCGGGTGAGTCTGACAAACCTCCCTTTACAGCACTGGTGTCTTCTGGCCACGTGCGCTTGGACAAGTGCCCTGGCCTTCGAAGTCCTGGCCTCCTCACTGGCAGGGCAGAACAGATTTTATCTACCTCATGGGTTTGATGTGAGGAGCAAATGAGGTCATGCACATAAACTGAAGATTTGGGAAATATTTTCTGTAGTTAAGTTCAATGAAAAGTTGGATTACTGAAAAATGTTCCCATAATTTACTTAACAGATATGGTCCTCAGATGGAAATCATTTAAATATTTATAAAAGTGTAAGGTCACAGATTTTTGTTACAATTTCTACAATTTTCTTACCCTCTTAAAAATATTTGAGTTAAATAAACATCTAAAGTGACATCATATAAAGCTATAAAACGACGTTATTTCCCAGATATAGTCTTGCTAAACTTTTTAAGCAGAAAATATCTATAGTTTAAAAATAAAATTAATGTCAAGTATCTGCTTTTATGGAAAGAAACCTTCCACAATATTTCAAAAGCACAAAGTATTAATCATTTTAAATCACTGATTTTTAAAACGTGCATTTTAAACATAAAATTACATTTATGATATAAAATATGTCATGCATTAAATGAAAAAAATCTTGATCTTTATTCTAGTTTTGCAAATCCTATTCATTGATAGTTTTGATACTGAATAATCTTTAATCTTCAAGATAGAGAAAAATCAATAATTGGGAAATAATTTTCTAAGAATGGTTTAAAATATTATTTAGATTTAGAAAAAGAGTGTCAAATTGTTACTTGTTTGGAGAAGGAAAAGACTTTAAAAATGGGATAAAATTCAGTAATTTCAGAATAAAGATCAAACAAAACCCCACATTTTTTACTAAGAAAATGTATGGCTATCACAAATCTTCCGATGGATTCCTTCGTCTGCTCCCTCTACTTGATCATAATGGGAATTAGCACTTGGAGGGAACTGCTATGCTCTCTCCCATCCTAGCCCTCAGAGAATGTGGTAAATATGTTTTATTAATCTATTTGTGACTATAACCCAATCTTGCTCTGTCAACAGGCCAAAAAAGACTGGGCTATGGGTGAAACCAGCTTTTCCTCATGTTTGCCTCAGTTGTTATTTTGGTCTTCAGTAGCTACAATATAAAAATAACCCTTCAATTTATGTTTCTTATGAACACTGAGATCTCAGCATATGTTTAGCTCCTCCAATGTATTATTTCACTTGTCATGATATAAAAATTTTTGCAATATGCTGAAATTTTTTGTGACTAAAACCAAAAATCAAAGAATCAACACGCATTTCAAAACTACAAGAAGAAACTGTGGAGAGGTGCACATTTTTATTTCTGAATTAGCAAGGCAGCCACAAGACCGAAGAAACAAGTTTGTACAAGGGTGACTCAAGCGGACAGCCAGCTGTACCTGAAGCACAGACACGCGCCGGAACAATGACTGTGCCACTCGAACTTCTGTGCCCACCACTGGGCTTCAGCAGTCCTCGGTGCCACTCGCCACTTTCAGAAACGCCCCCTCCCTTGAGTGCTGCCCAGCAGGGGCCTGTTTACCAACGTTCATGCCCCCACGACATGTGCAGGGACGAGAGCCAAATCTGTTTTTACTAGAAGATCTTTCACGTCGGGTATACATCTGGACAAAAGTTACACCCCAGTGCCCGACACTGTTTTCTCACTTCTTATTTTAATGGAATCAATTGTCTGATTTGGTAAATAACTTTTCTAATTTTATATTAGTTTTGACCTTTCTGGGGTTAAATATTTCATTGGTAGACTTCCAATCACATAGCTGAGAAAGGAGGAGTCAAGAAAAACAACACTTGCCTATGAGAACATCACACTTCAAAATATACAGCAATACAGTAATGACAACTGTTACTCTGCAACTAAAAAAATAAATAATGCAATGTAATAATTTAAAAACAAATACCAAGACTAAAATACATATTAAACAATGTTAGCCTAGAAATCACTTATATGCTTAAATATGAAGTGTTTTTCAAAAGAAATTTGAAACACTATTGCCAGTCGAGCCAAAAGACATTTTAGTTTATATATATCAAGTTACATATATGGTTCATTAAAACAAAAATTTGTTCCCTTTTAATGCCTTTTTTACTGGAACCATTTTGAATACACAATATTCTGAAACTGCTTATATTTTTAAATAAAGTTAAATTTCAAAAGCAGATACTTAATATTTTGAGCATAACACAACACATATAACCACATTAAAGATATAATAATATTAAATAATTACCCAATGAACTTCCTAACAACGCAACCACTTTTTCTTCACATTTGCTGAGTAGAAATTATGGTTTTTACTTTACTGGTTTTGAACATTGGTTACATAATTTTGAAGCAATTATTAATCAACGCAAGTACTGATACTTTGATCAACAATAATCACAATGGTTCATAACAATTAAGCTCAAAAGGTCACATTTATTTTGCCACAGTTATTTTTCCAAGCATCCCTTGCTTCTGATTTTTCTAGATTCTTTTATGAGGACAAAAATAGTGGATCCTTCTTTTCTTCTTTAGTTTCTGTAAATTCTGAACTCCGAAGAGAAATTCCATTTGCTTTGTTATTTTATTTCTGTGTATTTGCTTCTCTGACTCTTCATTTTTCTTCAACTCTTTACTAGGAGAAAAGTACACAAAATGTACTTAATGAACTTAATATCTTTTGGCCACAACCAAATCTTGGCATGCCTAGGCACAATGGCACAGGTTAAAAAACATCCTGGGCAATGCACACACACATACCACCACCAAAATACTAATTACCCATCTTCTAGTGTGCCTTGTGAATATACTGTTAACATGTTTTAGTATCATTAACAGCTGCTTATAGCTTGCTCCAGCATTGACAAGTTAATATAAGCAAAAAATAAATACACTTCTCAAAAACAGACACTAAGTATGCCCAACCCTGGAGTTTATAAAATAATTCATTCATTGAAAAAAAAAAATTGTCATGGATCATGTTTCAGAGTTAGTGACTAGAAAACATGTAGACCATTTTATTAAGTCACATTATTTCATTTGGTCTATGGGCTATCTTGTTTTACAAGTGGGTAAACTACATATTTTTAAAAGTAAATCCAAAAAATATGTGTTTTTTTCCTTTTTAAAGTAGGAGGGAGAGAGAGAAAGAGAGAAAGAAACATTGACGTGAAAGGGATAGATACATCGAGTGGCTGCCACCCACATAACCCAACCAGGGCCGGGGGGGACAAACTGCAACCAAGGTACGTGCCCCCAGCGGGAACCGAACCTGGGTCTCTCTAGACCGCAGGTCGATGCTCGAACCGCTGAGCCAAACCGGCCAGGGCAAAATATGTGTTATTATTTTTGATGAGCAGACACTGATGACTGACTATGCATCTAGATGCAGCTCTAAAATAAAACAAATTATACCATCAATGAAAACCAAGAGCCAACACACAGATGAAACAGGAAGTTGCTTCTTTAGAGACCACGTAGTAAGTATACTACAACTGAGGGTATAAACTAGTGGGGTTGAACCTGATATTTTTAACGCAATTATTCATACACTAGTGATGAATAGAAGTATCTGGATTTACACAAAAATGCTGTCTTTTCTCTAAACAGAAAGGGCTTAACACGTAGATGCTCTTAGAAAACAAAGGCAGCCTAAGAATGATGGCATTCCGGGTAAGGTGGTGGTCAGTTCCATCGATTACTCCTGAGAAAAGTAAAGCCAACAGCATTATGGCAGGAAAGGGCAGGCTAACTATTTCTTAAGGGCCATCCCTGGTGGCACAGGAGGGTTGGAGAACACCTGTGCCTTTAGGGACAGGTCCAGTCTTAAGTAAATGATTGCACTATCTTTTCATATGAAAAACATTTACACACAAGGGGAAAATATCCTGTTAGTCCGCATTTCCTGATTTTAAATGTGTTAAACAGAGCTACCACAGAGAAGCTAATTAGAGAAGCCCAAGAAGTTGCAAGTGAAGCTCACGAAAGCAACTGAAGTAGAGTATAACATGGTGCACACAGTGTGCAAGGTACACTCTCACAGGGGCAAAAAATGGGGGGCATACATATATATATATTTTTTTATCCTCACCCGAGGACATTTTTTGTTCAGGTAGAGTGGGAGAGAGAGAGAGAGAAACATCGATGTGAAAGGGACACATCGAGTGGCTGCCACCCATATGACCGACCAGGGCCAGGGACAAACTGCAACCAAGGTACATGCCCTTAGCGGGAACCAAACCCGGGTCTCTCGGGACCGCAGGCTGATGCTCTAACCGCTGAGCCAAACCGGCCAGGGCGGGGGGGGGGGGGGATATTTTTGTCCCTGTGTGGATACAGGTAAACTACATAAAACTTGCAGCAAATTAGGGTCTGATAAAAATGGGAAAGAAAGTAGTAAAGGCTCCAATGGATGCTGGGCACAAGTCACCCAGAGACCTTATAAACATGTGCCAGGGACAGTGGAGATAGTAAGAGGATCTCAGGGGACCAACAAGGCTCAGAGAGGAAGGACATTTATGACAGCGGCAGGACAGAACCACACAAGGAAAACAGAAAGGGAGAGGGGGGAGAACAGCTGGAAACTAGTGACTCCGGCACGTGCAGAAAGTGGAGGGCAAGCTGAATTAATTGGGAGACTGCCCTGTGAGGTTAGGAAATAGAGAAGCCAGGAGGACACTCAGGAGAGGGAACCCGAAGAGAAATTGAACTAAAAAAAGCTGAAGTAGGCAGTCAAGATAACATCTTTAAGGGAAATGAATCAGACTAAGAAGAGGAAGGAAGACTGGATAGAGTGACAAAGACAGCCCGTGAAAGGTAGAAAACGAATAGAATTAAAGGAAAAGGAGAGAGACGGTCAAGTGTCCAACTCTGACGACCAGGGAAAAGCAGGAATGGCACATTAGTGATGAATGGTGACAACACAGGGCTGAAGAGCTGACGGACAGATCTGCTGCAAGAGGGAAGGGCTGTCACCTAACCAGAGACACAAGAAAGACTCCAAGTCCAGCCTTCCTCTGAGGTAGCTCCTCCTAGAGTATCCCAGTAAGCTAATGGAGGGAGAGTGTAACCAAGTCAGGGCCTTTTTAAAGGCAAATCATATGAAAAGCAAAAGAAAAATCTGCACAGCAAGATTCTGAAAATGAATATGAAACCAGGATAGTGTTTGTATGTTCCATGTAGAAAAAGAAGATTCATAAAAAGACTGGGCTCTATCCCACAAGAAGTTCAATCCAATAAATATTCCCTGCAGGTCTACTATGTGGCCAGACGCCAGGCTAAGCACTGGGGAGAAAGAAGGGGAGCATGTTACAGCCCCTGCCTACAAGCACGTACCACGTATCTACTTGGAGGAACAGACACAGTGTTGTGTAACAGCAAGAACCCTGAACCTGGAGCCAGACTATCAAGTTCTAGTTTAGGCACTTTCTAGCTGGGACTCAGACCATGATTTCTTTACATGGAGAAAGAATAGGCTGTGGAAAGTTTCTAAAATTACTTTCATTTAAAATAAATGATCAAGTAGTACACATCAAATAGGTTGACTAGAAAAATGAGAAAATATACTAAAATGAAAGAAAAAAAGTCACAATCCCATCACTCAGAGATGACTGATCTTTTTTGATATATACTATTCAATACGTATATCTCTATATAACTATTTTATAATCATCTTTATTTTACTTAAAAATATCTAATAAACATCTTTCCATATCTTTGAAAATACTTCTATAATATAATGAATTGTCACATGGTATTATTCTATTGTATAAATGTTTCATAAATTAATCAACTATTCTTAGAAATTGAATTTTTCCTTCTATTTTTGATATTTGTCTATTTAGTCATAAAGTATTTCTTGAGTATCTGTTTTTGTGCCCATTTGAGAAGCCCAGTGGAAAGAGTGGAAAGAGCTTTATTAGTTACAGATATAATAATAAACGCTAGGGTCGAGAGGCCTTGGTGTTTGGCCATTAACTGGCTATGTGGCCTTGGTCAGGCTCCTTCTGGTTTCAAACACTGCTTGAAAGAGGACCATTTTAACTGAATCTCTGCACGAAGTCTTAAATATTTTCCTACAATAGATTCCTGGATGTAGAATTGTCAGGTCAGAGGACACGAGCAATTTGAAAATTAAAAAAACACATGAAAGAAAACATCCTCTACAAAGAATGGATGGTCTTAATACTATCAGTGTCTCCACATTGGTATTTTAAGTTTGAAACTTGTTGCCATTTTGTGAAGAAAAAAATACAGTATCATTTCTTGTTTTAATTTCTATTGCTCTGATCACTGGAAGGTGGACATTTTTCCTATGTTCACTGCCATTTATATATATATATTTCTTTTGTGTGTGTGTGTGGTGGATTTTATTAATTTATTTATTTTTGTTACAGATGTTTCTCCTTTTTGTCCTGTGTATACCCTTTGCCAGTTTTTCTATTGGTGTCTTTTTTCCTTGTTGATTTCTTAGAGCTTTTTATATGCAATGGGTATTATATTAATTTTATCTGTCATATATTTTATGAAATTCTTCCCTGTCTTAGATTTTGCTTGTTTCTTCTTTCTGACACACAAGCACACCTCCTTTCATCGTCTTCACTGACAAACTGAGGGTGTGTGGCCATCCTCCAGAGAGCAAGTCTATGGGCACCGCTTCCCCAACAGGCTGAGATGATGGCTAGCATGTTTTAGCAATAAAGTATTTTTTACTGAAGCATACAACAGACCACAGTATAGTGTAAACATAACTTAAAAAAAAAGAATAGTTTATTGATTTTTTTTTAGAGGGAGAGGAAAAGAGAGAGAATTGGCTGCCTCCTGCATAACTGCTACTGGGGATTGAAACTGTAACCCAGGCATGTACCCTGACTGGGAATCAAACCAACTACCTTTTGGTACATGGGATGATGCCAGACCAACTGAGACACACTGGCCAGGGCTAAATGTAACTTTTATATGTACTGGAAACCAAAAAATTCATGTGACTTGCTTTATGCCCAATGTGTCTGCTTAATTCGGAGGTCTGGAACCAAGCCCACGATATTTCTGAAATGTGCCCGTACACCATTTTAAAGTTTCTATTATTTAAATCTAAAAATCTGTTTCAAAATGTTTTCTGATCCTGGTAGCAAGATTTAAAAAGTAATTCCTTAATCCATGATGCCTTCTGTACAATTAGGTTTTATTTTTTTATAACTAGAATCTGAAAATACTGATGAAAAATTTGAACTAGGTTCTTGGAAAGGGGCAATTTCACAAGGGCAGCCATGCCAGAGCTGACCACTTCACTTTCAGCAGACAAATGGCACTTGCGCTCAACAGGAAACACAGAGGCCTTCTGACGCCTTCCTCTTACCCCCCCCCCCCCCACCAGAAAGCATCGCCAAGCCAACACCTTCTGTTCCACCTGCCTGTCCCAGCGGAAATGCGACCCCATTGTTTCTCTCCACTCCTGTGCTTCCCCAGGTCCCGTGGGATTTCCCTCTTACTGTATACCTTCAATGACTCCTCTCAAGAATCTTTCCCATTGGTAAATATTCTTGCCATTCCCCATTCTAGAAAGATCTCCTCTATACCCTGAATTTTCCACTAGTTACTGCCCAGTGTTTTCTTTCCTTTGAAGCCCGCTTCCTGGAGAAGTCTATTCTGACGGTCTTTTCCCTTTGGGCTGGAGACAGTCTAACTCATGCTTCCAGGACTCTCCATCAAACCATCCTCTGGAAAGTCACAAGCGGCTTCTTGGTTGCAAATCCCCAAGGGCACTTTTCAGTCCCAATGTAACTTCTCTCTCTGCGTCTGTCAGTGCTGACCATGCCTTTCCTAAATCTCTTCCTCTTGACTCTATCACACAACGGTCTCCTGGTTTTCCTCTTACCTCTATGAGGGTGACTTTTCGGCTGGTTTGCTCATTCTTCTTCACCTGCATATCCATTCCATGTGCTCGGTCCTCACGGCTCTGCTCTCTGCCCCGCAGGGAGCTACAGGAGGGACAGACCGGAGCCCAGGAGCCAGTAGGAAGGCTGCCGCACCCGCTCGGGCTAGGCTTTGATCTAAGAAAGGGGCAGCAGAATGGAAAGGAGATCAGTGCGCGGACGGAGGACAGAGCATCGGGCAGACACCACGAGTGACTCCACGGGGCAAGACACACAGCTGATAAAAATAATGTGAAGACATAAAAATGTAGCTGGTCCAGTTCCTCAACCTTGATGGAGGGGGCAGAATAACATAAAATGTATTACTCTCAGCAAGATGCCTAGGAAGAAATCAGAAGTTTTTAACAAATTGGATGGAAAAAGACGTGTGCATGTGTGTGTGCATGTGTGCATGTATGTAAAAGCACGGGGTATCCTTTAACGACAGAGAAGGGGATGAAGGAAGTCCATGCATAAGAAAGCTGTGGTAGTTTGACTTGTGGAGTGGGGCATGCTTTTGAAATGGTCCCATAGAAACAGTAAAATACAAATCAAATATTTTCTGGATGATTCTGTAGTAGTACAAACAATGTTAGGAGAAAAAAAAAAGCCCAAAAACAATGTAAAAGGGGACAATCAAAGAATGAAAGACAGTATCTCCTTTGTAGGAAGCCCAGGAATGGTGGGAGACATCAAAATAAACCTTGAAAAAGAGGCAAACATTTCAAAATCACGTAATAAGTAGAACTGAATAGAGACTGCTAAGGACTGGACTGTGCTCGCTTATAATATACAAGTTGAAGCCTTAACCCCCAACGTGAATGTATTTGGAGACAGGGCCTTTAAGGAGGTAATTAAGTTTAAATGAGATCACAAGGGTGAGGCTCTAATCTGATGTCCTCATAAGAACAGGGAGAGACACCAGAAACCTTCCTCTTCATATGTGCACCAAGGGAAGTCCATCTGAGGACACAACATGGGGATGGCCACCTGCGACCTTGCTCACACCCTGATCTGGAGCTTACAGTCTGCAGAGCTGTGAGAAAACACATTTCTGTTGTTTAAGCCATCCAGGCTGTGGCACTGTTATGGCAGCTTGAGAAGACTAATGTGAGATGTATAAGTAGGTAAGATGAAGTCAGGTGACTGAAAAAGAAAAGGCCAAAAATTATAAAGATGAAAGAATGAATAAAGTATATTAAGAAAGGAGTAGAATGATGAGTGAAAAAGGAAAGGTTGAAAATGAAAATGACACCAGGTTAGTGTTCTAACAGCTCTGAAAAAAGGATTGATAATTTACAAACTTAATCAGTCTGAAGTCCACCATTTTGGCCTACCTCCCGGGAGCCTATGTTGTAACATTAAAGTGGAAGTCAAATGTCTGTGTGGGCCACAAGGACATGGTGAATGCGGGAGCTACAGATAGCACACAGCATGGTGGCAAACTGGAGAGTGGAGGACCCAGCCACGGGAGGCCATCTGCTGTCTCAGATCCAGCTGACAGATGCCATGGAAGAATGTGCAGCTGTGGATTGTTTTCAAAAGAAGTCAAAGATCTGCACTTATGTAAAATCTTTTTATATTTGGACAACTCCTAAAATTACACTCATGCACAGTGGACCCAACCAAAGATACCAGGGAAGATACCTTGAAAATATATAAAACATCTGACTTTTGCTTGCAGCCAACAAAGCAACAGGAAAGATTCACTTCTTGCCTAAAATACTGGACAAAATATATGAACCAACAGTTTTCAAGATACTAAATCAGAGGCAACAAAGAATAACATTCTCCAGGATATGGAAAAGAAGGGGGATGAGCCCTGTAATGGCCCAGTTTATCGCCTTGCGTGTTTCCAGGAAGATGAAGCCTGCCTGGGGCCCGGTGACAACCTGAGTAAGAGCTGAGAGCCTGGGAAAACCCAAGCGGGTAGATCCCACAGAATGCCAGAGGAGACAGCCTCACAGTGAGAGAACCCAAAGACCTGCAAAGGGCTTCCCTTCGAGTGTTTAGCAGAGCACTGACGAGCGCATGTGTCTGAGGAAATTCAGCAGTGACATTCCCATGGGGAGCTGGAAGGCCTCACCACTCAGAGGGCACTGGGCAGAGGGATTTGTGTCAGTAGTGAGGCATAAGTAGCCCTAGACTAAACGTGTCCAGTCCCACCTAATACGCCGTAAACATGACTTGAAAGGGTCACACAGTTTTCAAGTAGTTTACTTGAAACAGAGCTTAAGAATATTTATGGGAATACAAAATATCTAGCAGTCAAAGATAAAATTTCGGTGTGTGGAATCCAATAAACATTTATGGGGGGGGGAAGGGGGGGAGGCAAAGAAAAAAAAAATACAACCCATAATAAGGAAAAAGAAATGAAACCAACCCAGAAATGACACAGATGTTAGAATTGTCAGACAAAGACATTACAACAGTTATCATAACTGTATTCCACCTGCTCTAAAGGTAAAATAGACCTAAAACTGAATTTTTAGAGATGAAAATTAAAATGTCTGAGATAAAAAACATTCTGGATGGGATTAAAGGCAGATTAGACATTGCAAAGAAAAGCTCAGACAACTTGGAAGACAGCAATAGAAACAATCCAAAGTGACAAAAATAATTTAAAAATATAAACAAAGCATCAGTGAGCTGTGGGACATCATCATATGGCTTAACATACATGTAACTGGAATCTTCAAAGAGGAGGAGAGCAATAATTGAGTACAGAAAAAAAAAAAAGGCAGAAGAAAAAGTGGCTCAAAATGTTCCAAATTTGATAAAACTATAAACCTACTGGATCCAAGCTCAACTAGTCCCTAGCACAAGAAACAAGGAAAATCACAACTAATTAAATTGCTCAAAACTAGTGATAAATAGAAATCTTTAAAGTAGCCAAGTTGGGGAAAACATGTTATACACAGAGGAACACAGACAAGCATAATAGTCTGTTTCTGATTGGGAAAAAATGCAAGCGAGGAAACAGTGGAACAACATCTTTCCAATACCAGAAAAACAAACAAACGAACGAACGAACAAACAAACAAAAAGCAAAGCTTTCAACACAGAATTGTATACCAGATGAACATAGCTTTCAAAAACAAAGGCGAGCCCTGGCTGGTTTGGCTCAGCGGTTAGAGCGTCGGCCTGTGGTCTGGAGAGACCAGGGTTCAGTTCCCGCTAAGGGCACGTACCTTGGTTGCAGTTTGTCCCCGGCCCTGGTTGGGTCGTGTGGGTGGCAACCACTCGATGTGTCGCTTTCACGTCGATGTTTCTCTCTCTCTCCCTCTCACTCTATCTGAACAAAATATCGAAAAATGTCCCCGGGTGAGGATAAAAAAAAAAAAAAAAAAAAGAAACCAATGCAAAAAATATCCTTGAATAAAGATTAACAAAATTAATTAAAAAATAAAATGTTTTAAAAAACAAACAAACCAAAAACAAAGGTGAATTAGACCTTTTTCAGACATGCAAAATGTAAAGGTATTCATTTTTAGCTAGCCAATACTACAAGAAATTGTAAAGACAGTTCTTTATGCAGAAGGAAAATGATAGATGAAAATATAAATCTATATAAAGGCATGAAGAACACTGGAATTGTAACAAAATGGGCAAGTATGTAAGACTTTAATATGTTGCATTTCTTCAAAAGATGGCAGTTTGAGCAAAAATAATAGTGCAGTGAATGGTTTATAACATATATAAAAATAAAATATATGACTATAGAAGCAGGAAGATCAGGAGAGAAGAAATGAAAGTACTGTATACTACTTTAAAGCTCTTGAAGACACACTGTGTGATAGGATTTGTATTATAAACCCTAAAGAAATCACTAAAACAGCAAAAGAAATATATATCATGTCTAAAGAACTACAGGAAAGTATGAAAACACTGTCTCGTCAAATAGGGAATATCAATAAAGAAACAGAAATTACAAAAGGAAGAACTAACACGTAATTTAGACAAACTCCTCCAGAAAACTGAAGGGTTGAGGATTCTTCCCAACACATTCCATGTGGTTAGTTTAAAACCCTGATACCAAAACCAGACGAAAACATAAGAAAAAAAACCCCCAAACTATAGACCTTTGTTCCTCATTAACAAAATGCAAAAAAATTTAAATGAAATGTTAACAAATCAAGTCAAATCAAACCAATTTATAAAAAGGATAAGTAGGATTTATGCTAAGAATGAAAGGTTGGTTTAACATTTAACTATCTATGCAATTTATCATATTAAAACATTAACAAATACATGATTATCTTAACATGCAGAAAAAGCATTTGACAAATATCTAACATCTAGCCCTGGCTAGTGTGGTTCAGTGCATTGGGCGAGGTTCTGTGCACCGAGAGGCTGCTGGTTTGACTCTCCTGGTCAGGGTACACGCCTGGGTTGTGGGCTCAATCTCCAGTAAAGCACCTGCAGGAGGCAGCCAATCAATGTTATACTCCCAAACCAATGTTTCTCTCTTCTCCCTTTATCTCTCTTTAGAAAAATCAATGAACTATTAAAAAAAAAAAAAATCCAACATCCATTCCTGATACAAACTCTCGTCAAACTAGAAAACGGAGGATACTAGCTGAAAAGGGCATTAATGAAAAAAAAAAAAACACAAAACACCTGTATTAATATCATAACTAATAGTAAAAAAAGGGAGTAAATTGTTTCCCACTCATTTCCCATAAGATCAGGACAAAGAATGTCTACTCTCATCATTTCTATTCAACATTTATTGGAGGTTCTAGCCAGTGCAATAAAGCAAAGGAAAAAAACAAGGCATTCAGATTGAGAAGGAAGAAATTAAACTGCTTTTTATTTGCATGACTATATATGTAGAAAATCTGGTAAAATCTACTAAAAGTTATTAAAACTAAGATGAGAGTTTAGAAAGGTGGCATGATACAAAGTCAATCAATAAACAATAATTTATAGTATTTATTAAAAAAACTTTTTTTTTCTTTATTGATTTTGGAAAGAGAGGAAGGGAGAGGCAGAGAGAAATAAAACACTGATGAGAGAGAACATCGATTGGCTGTCTCCTGCATGCCTCACACTGGGGATTGGGCCCACAACCTGGGCATGTGCCCTGACCAGGAATTGAACCAGTGACCTCTTGGCGCATGTATTGATGCTCAGCC